AATCTATACGTGTATATTCTTTTATTACCAGTTCCTGGTATCGAGAAGATGCCATTTTGCGAAATCCATCCTTGTCAACAGCTCTTATAAATAAACTCTACGACCTTAATGGCGTGGAATTTGATTTGCCGTGTGCTGGTTATGACCTGGACATTTCCTGGCCTGCCTTCTCAAAGTAACTAGTAGTTACTAACTTAGCAATCAATCTTTTTAAAAAAACGTGTTGCCATTAAATTCAAAAATACATTTTATGTTTTGCGCACCTAAAATACAGAAATTGCAGCCATTTATATATTTTTGTGTCAAAATATTTAGTCACAACAGAAGTACATATGTACTTCTAGTCACAATCACTGTTTTCGATAATAAACTTAAAATTTCTGCCAGTACACTTTCAGTTTGCTTATTATGTGATTTGTTCATGCAGAAGAACAGCGAAGGATGGAAACTCGTCAGGTCGGAGAGACAGTATAAGTAGCATGACAAGCGTTGATTTTAGGGTAAGTATTCATTGATTACAAATCATGAATTTTTCAAGTACAAATTATTATTATTTATTATGGTTAACTTGCACAATGTAACGCTTAATCTAATGTATGGAAAATTCGTCCCGAATTACGTTAAACCATTATTGAGACTGACGCAGAAAGTTGTCGGTTCCTTGCTGGTAAAACTCAGCAAACTGAACAACGAAACATTTTGAGAGAATACCCTTGCTTACATTGTAAACTCGCCAACGTAACTTACTTCGTATGTGTGTGTGCTTTTTTCATCTTACAGAATGAAAGACGAGATCCTGTTATAGACTTGGCCGCTGAAGTCGCATCCTTGATGGAGTTTTTTGAAACTGAAGCCACAGGTCCTCGAGAAGGAAAGGCGAAGTATGACAGCATAAGCTTAACTTCTGCGTCTGAGTMTCCGACAATCAACGAAATAACCTTACAAGTTTCAGGCATTCACAAGCGCGCATTGCAGTGGAAAGCAGACTTCGTTAACGAAAGAGCCTCCACAGCCCATTCTCTGCGGAAAGCACAAGATGACAGACARTTTGCTATTCAGGAATCGGAATTAAAAACAAAGCAATTGATGGAGAAGTTCAGTAATCTTGCAAAGGTTGCTTCTGRAGAAAGTGAGAAGAAAATAGCGGTACTTACAGAAGCTCTATCGAAGGCCGAATCGTCTTTACAAGAAAGAGACTCAGAGCTGCGAGCTCTGAGAGATGAAGTTAATARGTCTGTTGTAAGCACTAGCACTGCTCACAAATCGGCCATTGAACTTGAAAAACAGCTCATGGCATCCGAAAGAARAAGAACTGAATTAGAATCTGAAATAGAGAATTTGAATTATAAAATACAGTCAAACGAACAGTCTGAAGGAGAATTTAATGATAAAGAGAAACGATTGAAGGAAAGGGTTACACTATTAGAAGAAAAAGAAATGGAATACAAAGAGTTAATATCAGAACTGAGAGGAAACCTCAAAGCTAAAGAAGTTGCTTTGGAAAACATCCAAGCGTCTTTYGAAAAGCTCACTGGCATGGTTTTCGGGTCTTTTGAGGAACTTGAGTCGAATATGAAAGRGAAACTRGTTGATAAAGAAAAAGGTTTACAAAACCAAACGATAGAGAAYAGAAAACTCGAACTTCAGGTCACAGATCTGCGACAYCAATTAGAAGAAACTAAAACTGCGTTATCAGAACACAAGTCAAAGCTTAATAGTACGGAAACATCTTATAAAGATATACAAAGTTCGAATTTAGAGTTACAACARCTGCTTGAAGACAGTAATGAGAGATTAAGTCTTTACGCGTCATTACTTCAGGAACTTCACCACGAAGCTGAAGGAGAAAACAATGTGAACGACGTTATGTCTTTAAATGTAAGTTTAACCTCTCTTTTCTGTCATCACTGGATTGGGTTTGGGTTGACGCGGATCGGTTGGTGTGTAGTTTTAGCTGTTTTTTGTCAAGTTGTGTTTTTTGAGTGTTTTGAATTACTTTGTTTAGTGATTGGTTGGTTTGTACTGTTGGTTAGTTGTTTTAGTGGTTGGATGGTTTTAGAGGATTTATCGTATGATCGTATGGATAGGTGGTTGGCTAGATGTTTTTGTTGTTGTTGTTTATGACGTTTTCATCATTCTTGTCTTTTCATCGGGTAAATAGTTGGTGGGATGTTTGTTGCTTAGTCGGCCTTGGTTGGTGACTAACTTCATCTAATTCATGATTCTCAACAGAGCAAAAAGGAAATTCAATATTATTTCCAATCATTATCATCCCATATTAAAGATTCTAAGTTAAAAATTTCTCAAGCGCAAGACTTAATCACTGCAAACGATAAAGAACTAGCTAATCGACAAGAAGATATCCAAAGACTMACTGACCTAATTGAACAACATAAACAACAGTTTAATAAACTTCAAAACGAAGCTCATGAAAATGAGAATGTCATCRCTTCTATTACAACGAAACTAGAAGARGCGAACAACGAAATAATCCGTCTAATMAACGACAACGACGACTGTAAAASCACCATTGATTCTATAAGAGAAGAAATCAAGTTTCTAACAGAAGAGAAAACTTCTATAGAGGCGCAGGCAAATATCGACAAACAGCAACTCGAGATGGCGAATGAGGGAAGGATTCGCGCCGAGTGCGCGCAGATAAAAGCTGAAGAAGAGCTAAAGAATGTTAAGTGTGTTATGGAGCAAGAGGTTGCTGCGTTGAGGTTTCAACTGAGCTCAGAGACAATGAAGTTTGAAGAAGAGATAAAGGTATTATTAGAATCATGAAGTTGTTTGAGTAACATGGATTTCCAACTTGACGTACGACATCGTTACTGCAACATTTTTAAAATGTTTTTTTTTTTTTCAGCCAACTAATCGTGTAACAAAACCATTTTGCTGCAAGTTTAGCGGCAAACCTGTTGCACAAACCTRTGCTGCAGTGGATTAAAGTTCGTTTTTCATTGATATCCAACTTGACACGCAATATTTTAGAATGTAAATTCTCTCTGACAAGGCAACTTTTTCCCACTATTTAAGAATTTAATAATTGTAGCGGTTATAGCGAGCATTCGGAACTAGTGATCCTCCCTCGCTCCCATTCTCCCTGTTCTGGCTCCCTGCAGAAAGACAGGAAACCCATGTTCCTTAACGATGCCTGTTAATGCCTTAGCGAGCTTTTCATTCATTTTCAAGTACGCGATGTATAATAGACTGTTACAAGGTAGAATTGTTTTTTGATGGTACGTTGGGTGTAGCACAGCATCTATCGAATGTCTATTGATGCCTGTTGATGCCTTAGCGAGCTTTTCATTTGTGAATTACTTGAAGTACGCGATGTATAATAGACTGTTACAAGGTAGAATTGTTTTTTATGGTCTGTTCGAATGTCTATTTTTTTTTTTTTTTTGTCGTCAGGTCTTCTCTGAGCAGAATCGAGAAAACGTAGTTAATAAAGAACGTTGTTTGACACTGGAGGAAACCATCGCTGATCTCGAGTCAAAACTGAAAGAACGCAATAATGAATGGGAAAGCGAGAAGAGAAAATTTGTGAATGAGATCAAACGACTTAGAAGTCAGGTAATGAACCAACTTTAGACACTTAAAAAGTCAAATCTCACATGTGTCGACTTCAATGAATTGTTATCATATTTGCTTAAAATTCGGTTCATGTGAGATTTGGCGTCCGCAATAAATAACGATTACTAAAAGCTATGCATGTTTACGTTCACCTTTCACTGAAGGAGAAGATACATTTTGCTACCACTGTTTTGACTCGCAAAGCTATTGAAGTAAAACTGTCAATCTTGGACAAAATACTTACCCTCCCTCCCTCCCTCCCTCCCTCCCTTCCTCCCTCCCTTATATCCCTTCCAGTACCCCCACCTACGATGTTGTTGTATGTTATGTCATCACACTCGGGAATAATTAGAAGATGGAAAGGAAACAACATCGCAGGGGGGCACATGGGGAATAGATTCTGTCGTGTTTGTCAAAATGACATGTAGCAAAATGTAGTTACGTGTTGCAAAGTCTCGAGTAAAATGTTTCGGATTGTAGGTTTGTTGATAGTTTTATTTATCTGTTAGGTTCAGYTGCTAAACAACGCGTTAGAAGGCAACAAACAAAAAAAGATGTCTCTTGAAAACGATCTCATATTGACGACCAAACAACTCGATGAAGAGAGAGCTCGACAGAAGGATATTAAACAACACGTACAAGACGTAGAAGCACGAAAATTAGAAAGTGAAAAACTACTTCAAGGAAAGATTGATGAAATGGGAGACGATATGAAAGACCTTAAGAATAAAATTGTTTCTTTAACTAGGTGAGTTTTACTCAGGTGTTCCTTCATTAAAGGAATTCGTTCGAAAAAAATAGCGCCATATACAAAGTCACAACAGAATGAATATATATGTCTGTGACTGCGACCTCGACTATGACTATGACTATGAGTGTATGTATACACCCTTTTAATAAGTCCAGAAGTATTGTGTTNTTTGGCAAAAAGCTGCCGAATTTGAGCATGAGCTCAAGTTGAAAGCCACTGATCGATGGGTCGAAGACAACGAAGTCAAYAAATGTTCAAGTTGTAAGACAGAGTTTTCGTTCTTAGTGAGAAAGGTAACGACGTTAAMTAATGTAACAATCAATAGTCAATGTGTAGTGACGTCATGTAATATACAGTAAAGCATGATGGGGGATACAGTCATCATGGCCGCTAGAATATCCCCTTAAAGGTTGCTTCACATGTTTTCTGTTCAATTATCAATGAAGAAACATTTTTATAGTGTTTTTTTTTTAAATAACTAAGTTTGAACTGTTTGTTTTGTGTTTGTAGCATCATTGTCGATTATGTGGTCGTATCTTTTGTCATTCCTGCGCCAACAACTGGGTTAGGACGGCTCATAGCAGGTAAACCTCTTACTATTCTTTTCCACCTTTTACAGCTTATGAAATATAGTGCGTTTCATTTASGATAAAAAGGAAAATATCATCTATTTCTCTATCCTTCTTTCATTATTCTCGTTCCTTTTCATTGCATCACGGAATGAACGAAGAGTAGAAACAAAGGAAAAATAAACGGAAAATAAATTGCAAGTGAAAAAACACATGTAAAGAAAGAAAGAAAGTAACGAAAAGAATTCTGTAGCGTGTAAAAACTGAAAATGGTAGAACAGCCTTGAATAAGTTTTACAACATGGACTATGTCTCCGAAACAATGGCATTTTAAGCTGTATTCTATATTCTTTGCCTTTGTCGTACAACAAAAACTTTTCAGTCAGTCATGTACGGATAGTCGCTTTATGATGAATGCTAAATGCTTTATCTTTGATTCTTCTAACAGCAAATTAAAACGAGTCTGTAATGGTTGCATTTCTAAAGATCAGCGTCTAAAGCCCCAAGAGGCTCCTCAACGTCGCAACACAGAAGACGAAGACTTTGACGACACCATGTCAGACATTAGCTTTGGTGCAAGCCCAAGAAAAAACATGTCAACAAGCTCCATTGATGTTAGCGATGATGAACAAACACCATCCACTTCCAAGACACCAACATTAAAACGAGATGATSTTMSTTCTAACGCAAAGTCAAATAAAAGTGCACGGGACGCCATCATACATGATGGCGGACACGAAAGCAATGATTCCTTTGGAAATTACGAAGAATTCAATAAAGAAAAGTCAGATGGAAGTACTTCARTAGATTCTACAAAGGTTGACAGTCCTCAGGATGTAGACTATGAGTTTATAGACCAGAACGAAGAAGTCGGCGAGCTACCAGAGTCACGTGTAGTGATAAGTAATACAGACGTGAAGGGAGARCTTGTCATCCCCGCAGTGAACGACGAAGAGGGTATATCACGTGACTTCTCGGTATCTCCTGGGACGAGGTACATCGTACCTGTAATGGTGGCCACTCCTGGGGCTATWCTATGYTGGTCGTTTAAGACTGTTTATAAGGTACACAAACCTATTATAATGGCAGGGCAAACGTTCTSTTAAYCACACCTAATTAAAWATGGCTGCGGCTAGATGGTWTCCTTTCAAACCAGGTATAGATTATACTTGTAGCTCTAGTCGAAGGATTAGTTTTAAGGACTATCAGGGATGGCTATAAAACGATTATTTATTGCTTTGATTTCATTTATTCTTTTTAAAAGAATCTAAGAGGTTTGAAATTAACTCGAGCCCCTTGGGATCACGTGGTCAGTGAGTATCCCATCTATATACTAACCACAACCATTGAAAACACCTCATCGGCTTTTATCGAACTGGTCAGCGGGCGCTGCATTGCGATACCTACGCTGCGGCAGCAATAGGCTCAAACCGAAGGGGATTTTGGGTATTCTTTGAGCTACAATTGTAGCCATATATACACTTAAACAGACACTAGTGAAAAACGCACTGCGCATGCCCACAACTTTCCCGCTAGAGGGCGCTCGCGTCTTGAAATCTGTAAACAGAGCGCCTGGCGATTTACAGCGACAACACAGAAAACACTACGAAAAACCTCATTTTCTCAAAATAGAAATGACAAGATAAAAATAGAAACTACATACTAATAGGACCTATTATGAACAATGATTGATGGAAATATGAATCTTTTATATCGGTGAACGAGCTTATAAATTGTAAAAAACTTTGACAAAAATCGCTTTACAAAGGAAATTAGGCAGATTTCAGCGGGAAAGCTGCGCACATGCGCAGTGCGTTTTTCACCAGTGTCACTTAAACATTATTATTGCAGCAGTATTTGGAGGAATTGAAATACTTCAACGCTCATTTTATTTGCCTCCACGTGTTTATTCTTTCTAATGGAGCTTAGTGAATGGTTTTCGCTTCCTGTTTTTCATTCACTGCACGTGTCTTAGTCGGAGATGAAAGAGAATGGAAACCTCTAGATTCGATGGAGTAAGGTCAAGGCTATCACGATGTTCAAAGCACTGCATGATTTTTTGTTTTGAATATTGCAGGAGTTGAATTCCCACACAGCAAACGTGTAAAACAGTAAACATCTTAATGTGTTTTAGRTTTTGSCTGATGATTTTCCGTGTTTTAAAAAAAAGTTTTAATGATTGATTGATTGATTAACTGTGCTTCCTCTTTCGACGAAAGTAAAAAGGAAGAATATCGTTTATTGAATAAAAACACTTCGTAGTCTTACGACTGAATTGCGTGTTATAATTTACAATAGTATAATAGAATAGATAAAGGATTTGAAGATAAAATATTATAAAACCATTSATAATGACTGTATGTGACAACTATAAAATCTAAAATCACTATAAAATCTCCCTGATGGTGTTTATTATTATTGTTTCGATATGATGAGGATAGTTTCTGATAGTATATTTTCCTTTTTCAGAGTGTGATCTTTGGTCTTGCCTACAAACAAACAGAATCAGTGTCTGATGATGACATCGAGGTATGTAAATTAATGTCTGAAATAATTTTAATTATTCTTAAAAGTATTTATCTTTGCCAAGACTTACAAAACTCTGCCATATGGTACTTTAGCATCCACTAAACTATGGGCTATCACAAATCCAGTATTCTGATTGGCTACTGGCTTGAATTATGATTGAAATACTATTCATGATATAGACCATGGTTGCATCGAATGAAAGCTAAAATGTTGAGAAAAATTGTTATATTTTGTATCTATTTTGCCCTATAGTTGGGTGGATACTGAAATARTTAGATCACTTGGTCTCGTAGCTACAACTCGTAGACCACTCGAGCTCGCGGTTTATTGCTAAAGAAAGACAGTCCTTTTGAATCTAAATCATTTTCATATCTTGTCTGCTGTGTCTGTGGTGCAAGTTTTCCCAGTTACACGAAAGGTTGAAAAACGATTTTAGTAACAAAAGTGAACAGAAAGATGAAGGGTGGGAGGGTTTTTGTTTTTGTTTGTTTGTTTCCAAAAACTAAGCAGGCATTTTATTTAACCTTGATTCTTCAATATCATGTTCCTGAATGTTTTCTTTTCCAGACTCTTTACCCATTAGCGCGGTATAGTTCAAACGAGACACCAGTAGAAGGGGAATGGAAAACATCAAGTCATGGAGTCTACGTGCTTGTTTTTGATAATTCTTTCTCAAGGTCAGTGATGTTGATTAGTACCAGTAAACCTCGCTTAAGCGACCACGTTGGTGTCAACATCTTGTTTTTCGTTTATGAGTGGTCTAGAGTAAGCGGGTGTTGGTCGTAAAAKGGAGTGGTCGYTTACGAGAAATGTCGTGTGTCGTTTACGAGAATGGTCGTATAARGAAGTGGTAGTTTGCGAGATATGTCGTGTGTCGTTTACGAGAATGGTCGTATAAGGAAGTGRTAGTTTGCGAGAAATGTCGTGTGTCGTTTACGAAAAATGTCGTGTGTCGTATACGAGAAATGTAGCGTGTCGTTTACGAAAGATGTCGTTAATCATATCAAACTTAATGGTGACAAAAAGTCCGTGGCGTAACCTGACAGTCCGTATGAAGAGTCAAATTCGACGAAAAGAGACCAGATTTCAAGACTTTTTGAAGAAATGCAATGATATTAAAGACAATCCTAAAAACCTACCATCGAATCTAAGAAATRAAATATATATGTGACCTTTCTGTGTATTCTTCGTGAGAAAATTTGAAAATCCAAGTATGTATTTTCGCCTTTGAAGAGTTTAAGTTGAGCATCAAAATAGCCAGGCGATCACAGGTAGCCCAAGCTAGGCATTTGTAAACTTTTTAGAAATATTTAAAATATAACAAAAATAAACATCTCTACCTGTGTATTGTGTTTTTCTTTACATTTCTGCGAAGCTTCAGGCCATTTCCTTCAATTTTGATGATTTATACCTGTGGTTTTGATTATTCTTATGAAGTAAAAGCTATTGTTAAAGAGTACCAGAGTTTCAGAGAGCAAAATCCGAGATATTTTTTAAAGCTTTTTGCTTTTCTAATGACCGATAAACCTATATATTCTTTTAAAAAATGTCGTATTTGTGCTCTTTTTTCGGCCTCTTCATTTATATCAAAAGATCTAATCTAAGCCATCTAAGCAAATGTCACCCGATGTATAGCAATAAGTTTGATATGGTTTGCGAGAATGGTGGTGTATAAGGGAGTGGTGGTTTTACGAGAATGATGGTGTATCAATGTGTGGTCGTTTACAAGAATGGTAGTCTTTTACGAGGAATATCGTGTATTGTTTTACGAGAAATGTCGTATGTACAATACGTACTTAAAAACGGTCTTCCTTTTGTTTTCTAGATTCACTTCAAAACAGGTGTCGTACGTTGTTCATGTAAAACGAAGATCTTCGATACTAAAGCCTTCTTGATGATATCTCGAAAACAGGCAAAAATGTAACGTACTTAACTCATATCAATAACCCGATGTCCGCCGATGCCTATGGCTATTTTGAAACTTACACAAAAACACCTTCGAAACTAACGTGACTTTAGTAAACTGCCTGTTTTTCATACACTTAGAACATCTGCTGTAAAATGCTTATGGCAATTCTTCCAGTAGTTTAGTATTTTATTTATTATTAATTCAATCGACCAGGATGTATACTTAGTAGGCAACATAGTTGTGAGCAATTAGAAAAGCAAATTCTCACCTCACCGATAAAGCCTATAATCAGAAATTGAACACAGTTACTTTTGGCAAAGTACTGTTCACCAACGTCTGACAATGACATTAAAAACAGCGAATTATTAAGCGTAAAAGGCCTAGAAGCCATTTAGAAAAATTGTAAAAAGTGATCGGTAATTTATATGAATTTTAAATGTACTATACTTGAATTAGTTAACCCGCAAAAATAAACATTTAGAGGCCAGCTCTGTCAGTTAACCTTATATTTTTATCGTTAAAAGACGATACGAGGTGAGTGAAAATTCAATGGTTGTTTTACAAGCGCTTTATTTGCATGATAAAACAGTATTTTTACTCATTGACTTACTGCTTGCTCACATAATCTTGATCTTTGGATCTTGAGTGATATTAGGCTACGCGCAGCCAGACTATTGTCTCCAATATCGAACATAAGGTGAATCTGTTCATTTGTGTTGAAGTGTTTTGCACGTACTAAATGAAAATCATTCATCGTTTGTTTGCGAAAAGAAACACTCTGAGCTTAGTCATTTGCAAGTAACTGGCTGTGAGAGGTAACGCCCTGACATATTTCATTTTATCATATAATTATCTATGAAATAACTATATTTCTCCATTTCGTAAAATTGATGGTTTTCACTAGTGAAAATAACACATTCGAGGTTTCTCTATATAGTGGAAGTAAGAAAAAAGGTATTTTACGACATAATTTTCTTTCATTTGTAATTATATGACAAACAGAATATTACGTGGTCGCTTGGAGATACGAATTTTATCTTCTCGTGTTGAAAGATCTTTTCAACACTAGAAGATAACATCCGTATCCCCGCGCGCACATGTAATATCCTCTGATATATCAAGTGCATCTTGGGTACTTTTTTCTGCAGTTTCTTGAATTCTTGGTGAGCGCTCCGAAAGCAGTTTAGCTTCAAAGAGCACGTTTCGATTTCTTAATACATATACTGTCTTATAGAGCATTTAAAAGTACATAGTCTAGTCCAATTTGAAGGAATTAGAGTGCGTGGTTAACGAGTTAGAGCCCGCCAAACACATTTAGGTAAGATTGTATGCGATGACCTTGATGATGAACAACGTCTGTAGACCAAAGTGGAGATCGCCATGCAACCATCGTCTGAGTGTCGGGGATGTTTAAAATTGAACTGCAACTTTTAATTCGCGGCGATTTTCGACCGTCGTGGCTGTTTACACGAGTTGCGCGATAGCAAAGCTTCAAAATTGTGTCAACGGAACTTATCAAACTTATAATATTTCGATAACACAGGACTTCTTGTGAAAATACACACGAATGCTTTTGTGACTCAGCACACACAACGACCATTAGTAAAATGTTTGGTGGTAAATCTTGGATTGTTTGATCACTAAGAATTAAGTATTTTTAGCTAGATCATTTGCAATGGGAACTGGACATTCTGCTGATCTGGACTACGTAAATACTGAATAATTATGAAATTTCAGCTACCTCATATTTCCTAACGGGCAGAATTTTAATTTGTAACGCTTCAGTGGCAGGTATGAGAAATTCTAGATGGTTAAATAAGATAGTTTAGTACTTCCGCGTTCTATAAAGTAATAAAAAAAGAAGCGGAAATTCTGTATATACAATTAAATCAACCAACTGATTAGCGTATAAAGTAGATTTCTCTTCGACAATATATGTCATTTGTAAGTCGTGACTCGTTTGAAATTACAGCTCGTTTGTCTGGCTTTTAATGGCGGAAATTCGAGAGTTTCCATATGTTGAATAGGAAAGATTAAACAATTTCAAAACTTCCGTGGAAGAAACGGGAATTTGAGATGTATTTTAATAAAAACGTTGCGCAATTCGTGTGATGTTTATTTGGCTGTTCAAGTTGTTTTTAGCTTTAATTTTTGTTCGATTGTTTTTGTTGTTGCTTTCGGAAGTCTCTAAAATGCTTGTTATTGAAGCATCTTATCTTTGTTGTTTTTTATTTCATACTTTTGCTTCCTTTTCCTTCCTTTTTTATTTTTCGCAGGATAAATCTATTTTAAAATGTGTTATTACAAGTTTTATTTATATATTTCTTTGATTATTTACTGTGTTTTAAGTAGCCAGAAACTCTTAAAAACTCTTTTTACTAGATACAAAAGAGTATAACTGTAAAGCATGTTAGAATTCTGCGCGATTCTCGATTATTCCATGAAGTAACTCGTATTTCCGGAATTTTCAGACAGTAATCTATCGAGTTATAAAAATCCAAGACAACCAATCATATCAGTTGATTAAGATTCGGCCAAGTGCAATTGTCATTTTCACTTAAGAAAGCAAAAGTACTTGGTTTAAATGGAGTACGAACTACTCAATCGCGTTGATATGTAGTTGAAACAAACTCTGACACTCAGGCACCAGTTATAATTATACAGTTACTTAAGGGAAGCTTAATCAACCGGTTTGCGTTCAGTTTGTTTACTGAACGTCAATTTAACTCTGAAACATGTCTTGCAAATCTAAAATCAGTCGCGCTAAATCACGTTCTCTGCTTATCTGAGCGAATATCATACAATGAAAACCTGATTATATGAGAAAGSAGATTAGAACGCACAGGCTAAAATTTGGGTATTAAGGTGTGGGTCAGCACATGGATAAAAGTGATTTACCCCAGGGATCAATATTGGTCGAGATTGATCCAAAACCGACGTCTTTTGTGGAGTCAAGAAAATAGATTTTGAGCCTGGAGATCGCAATCACTATATACACATGGATATTGAAATATTAAAAAGTAAATTTCATTCAAGCTCAGCCTTTTAAAAACTCTTTAAGCTTCCGCCGTTGATGAAATCTTTGATAAAGATATAGTCAAAGCTTTACGGATTATATATATTTTTTTTCAATTTGAAACAGCAAACAGTATCTGTGGCTAGTTTTTAATATAAAAAACAATTAATTGGACATCTTTGAAAAAAGCCGGATTTTTCAATCCAATTGAAAAATGAAGAAGTTCTTCAGATGCATGATATAGAAAAGTTCCCTTGAGTTTAATTCTCTTTAAAATTCATCAATTCATCGATCAGGGCATTGATTTTTAATACTTGTCTGCGGAATGATGTGTTGGTATATATTTTTTATATCAGGCTCGTAAAGCTCTGCAAATTTTCTCTTTATCAAAACCATCCATCATCTAAGAGTCTTACCACCAGCTGTTTTTCATGACGGCGTTCTCTCACATTTTGAGGTTTATTATATAATGGCGCTTCATATCATAAWAATAACTAGTTTTTAAAAAGGAAAATTGTGAGGAATCTTAAATGTATTTTTGTTGGTAATAATAATTAAGTTAAGGAAATAAACATACTTTAAACAAAAGTGGAAAAATAATTGGCCAAGGAGTCGAGAGAAACCTCATAAAAGAGCCGAAAAAAGTTCGATTATGCCGAACAAGTTTTATAATCAGTTATATGATACTTGGTATGAAATAGCACTTAGTTTCAAGAAGAACAGTACAGAAATATTAAGCTCTATAGATTTACTCGCTTTATAGATTTAAGCTGTCATTTGGACTGCATTAAGGGTCACATTTGTACAAAGCATGTACTTTATAGGATTATAATGACTTTAAGTTTTTCTGACAAGCTCTTATGGCCGTTATTCACATCGAGTGAGGGATACTTAGTGTTTTTCATTATCTACATGACGTCATAGATTTCTAGGCGAGTTGGACTGGGTCGAGGTGTTAGTATATATATATGTAGTATATATCTAATTGTTCGACGCAGTTGCCCTTTTACAATACTTCGCGCAATAACACGTCAAAGATATCCAATTCGGAAGCATTTTATTAACTTTGCTCGTTTCTGTTTGTGTATCAAGACGCCACCAGATTCAATAAGGTATGAATTGTGCATCGTTGTTCTTGTGTCGTATGTAGTTTACGTACGACAATCGACAATCGTATCGTAAGAACAAGATGAACCGAACCTAGATACTGATTTCGGAACAATTTTAGKGCTGATTTCCTGTTATCTCCGTTGTTTAGTTGTCTAATTTTATCAGTAGCTATGCTTTTCGGTTTATTCGTTTACTATTTTCGCTTTCGCTTATTTCGTTTGCTCGTTTTGGCGTTTCGGCTTGTTGAAATTTGGAATTGAATTTATTGATTTTTTTATCCTTTTTGTCAGTTTGTTTGTCGTTCGACTTACGTCCTTTTCGCTTCAACTTTTAAATGTTTTTATTTGAGTTTTATTTATTATTTTTATATTTTTTATATTTGTTTTTGAGTTGTTGTTTTTGATGGTTTCTTTATATTTTCGGCTTGTTTTTCTATTTTGTTCTCAATGTGTTTCCGCTCACTTAGATATCGACCCCTAAATTACTACAGTGGATTAAGTTAGATATATCAAGATATAGCCAGCTATTTGTCACAGAGGTTTAAAACAAAATTTGCTACGCCCTTATTTCAGATTGATGTTGTCATTAAAAAAAAACATATTGGAATTATGTTTTTTCCAATTACGGTGCATGTGGAACACTAGCACTTAAGCTCTGTTTGACAGGGACGAGGCAAATATTGGCTTTTTAGCGCTGAAAGATATCATTTTTTTTCGCCCTGACTCCAAACATCTTGATTGCACGCGGCAATCTCACTTTAGTCTTCCTCAACTAACACCATGAATTGAAAGTCCCCTCTGGAGAAGTTAATCTCATTCAATTACAACAAGTTAGCTGTCAAAACTACATCCTGTATAGCGTTGAGAGCTTTGGTGTAGAGGTGAATGTGTGAGTCATTGGTGATTTATTAGAGCCTGAAGTTTCATTCACTTTCACAAAAGATTCTCAAGAAGCCCACGCGACTTAAAATGATTAAAGTATTATCGGGGCCTTTGCTTGTTTTGTCTTGTGAGACTGCAGAAAATTGAATAAATGTAGCTGACAATATTGACTGAATTCAAAGAACACAAAGAATAATCAAGAATGAGACATAATTAAGAAAGATAGCAATAAGAGCTTTCATCAAAAGATGGTTTTGAATAGCTTGCATGTGGTAAAAGGAGACAAAAAACTCTCCATCCCTCAGGTATTTTTCGATATTTTAAAAGAGGCATACGGTTTGAAAAGAACATGATTAAAAAAATTGTTTGATTTTGTTTTATTTTTGTGTGAGGTCGTGAAGCAAACGCGTAAACATTGCGGGGAGTTCTTGAAACGTCCTTAAACTTGTTTTGCAGCTGTTTCATGCTTCAATTCTTTGTTTTACGGTGGATTTTGTAATTGTTTTTTCATCGGAAGAGAAATCGACAAGACCTCGCAAAAACACGTCTCGTGTTCTCATGACAACCATTGGACATCTCTACTTATCGAATGCTTTTTCGTGAAATTTTATTTATGCAACTAAAAAAACTAACTATTTGAAATGAGTTTGATCAATCGGCATTGATATCCGAGCAAGTCTTGCATTCAACTTTAATAATTACGATAAATTCGAGCAAACGCTACTAGCCTTAGAGATCAGCACTTCATTAGTACTTAATTACTAATTAGTAGTATTTAATTAAAACCAGTGGATATATCTCATCTCTAAAGTGATTTCTATGCTTATATTGC